TCAAAGATGTCAAACTAATATGATAAGATTGATAACTAAGTTGAGCACGAAGCTCCTATCTAATGGCAGACGTGCCAGTCTTATATAGAACATTCGTTCTCTCTACATCGCCTACATCACCTGTCGATGTAGTCGACCTCCTATCGCTAACATCGACTGTCGATACAGGCGATGCGATTGATCACGTGACTACATACACGAGAAATCCTTGGATCGCTTAGCTAGTCTAAGCATCCCTATTTGCTATAAGAAACCTGGATGTGCCTGTCGAGGGTTGCGCCTCTTTATTATGACAAGTATCACGTGAGAACGTGATTCGTGACAGCGAGTTCCTATATCTATAGTATCTGCCCGCGTATTCTTAGCTATCGTAGGAGTAGAATAATAAGTGATTAGAGCGATAATAGTAGTGTTATTAACACTCCTTAGTTTTAGTGTTCTATACCTGGTCAGGGGCGCGCACGGGCTACCCAGGTGCGTTTCTGGCCGCAGCTAGGGGGATACCCACCAACTCCCTCCCCTTCTCTCTTTTTCCAAAAAAAAAAAAAAAAAAAAAAAAAAAAAAAAAAAAAAAAAAAAAAAAAAAAAAAAAAAAAAAAAAAAAAAAANCTTACTTACCCGCCTATATATATACAAAGAAATGACTGAGAACAACTAACTGACCGAGAACCCCATCCATTTTTAATCCACTCCATCCCCATCCCCATCTCCATCCCCTAAAACGCACACCAGACAGAAAAACGACACCAACCACCCCAACAACAGCCCAGAAAACGACAACAAAACCCAAAATCAAACGTGAAAAATTCAGATAAATCAACGACCTACCTAGTACCCTTTTTTCCAAGTCGTACGTAGATCCCCATATTCCCCACTCAAAGCCTATCAATGGCCATCAAACCCTTCTCAGCCTCTGGGAACCCCTGAAGACTTCCTCGCTGGATTATAGTCTGTTGAATGGGATTTACTGTACCACTCTTCTCTCAGCTTCGAACGCTTTTTATAAGGTATGGTAAGGCTCTCCGCTAGTGCACTTGCTTCCGCGTTACACTTGCTTCCCGCTGACGACAAGCGAGAGCGCAGTGGGAAGACGCACTGTGTATTATATCTGTGCTAGATACAATGCTTGGTGTAAAGCTAGAATTGAGCAAGGCTGCAATATAAAATCTCAGCCGAGGACACCAAAACCCAAGTCACAGAATACCAACACATCACAAAATAAAAACAAAAACTCAAGGCGAGAAATATGATTTGCTATGCTTTTGTGATTTATTTTACTTAACCCTTGGCAGCACCAGCCTTGATCAATATGATATCACCATCCTCAACCACATAGTCCTTACCCTTGGTCATGACCTTTCCCTTTGCCTTAATCTCAGCTTCATCGCCTAATTCCTTCAAGGTCGAGAAGTTGTAGACAATACATTGGATAAAGGTCTTTTCAAAATCACCATGGATGACGCCGGCAGCTTGTGGTGCCTTGGTGCCAGTTCTGATGGTCCACTGTCGGACTTCATCGGTACCGGTAGTGAAGAAACTTCCCAAGTGCAAAGACTTTCGCATGGTAGTGATGAGCTTTGGTAAAGCGGACTCAACACCAAGTTTCTTACACTCCTCCTTTGCTTCAGCCTCAGTCTCAAATTGCGTCAAACGCTCCTCGAGACAGATGGAGATGGGCATAATAGGGTCACCAGCGGCATTCGCCTTGATCCACTCCATCACCTTGGGCAGATGCTTGTTCTTCTTTCGAATGTAATCTTTCTCGCTCAAGTTGATGAGGTAGACGACTGGTTTGGCGGTCAAGAGGAAGAGGGGATTAATGTACTCAATCTATTTGATATGGTCAGCAAGCTGTATAGGCAATGATTCATAATTGTGTAAATAGATTGGTGTGGTTCAGATCGGGTTTCTTCTCTCATGCTACCTCTGCGTTTATATGTGAGGTAGCTCGACGAGCTGGGATTATTCAGGCCTCATGGCCCTTTGTCATCATGAAAAGGTGGTGGGAGGGTTGAAAGAAAAGTTTGAGCATACCTCTTTTGTAGACCAGGTACCCTTTCGGACGTCGCCTCCATCCTTGAGTAAAGCAAGAACCTTTTCGATACAAGCCTCTTCATCAAGAAGTTTTTTCATCTCCAGACTCTGGCCACCTCTGCGGGTTAATTTCTTGGATGCCTCGAGAGCCTTTTCCACAAACTCGATATCCTTGATACGCAATTCCTCGCTGATGATGGTCAAATCCCGAACGGGGTCGACATCACCCTCGATGTGAATAATCTCGGCATCATCGAAGCATCGAACTACCTGAAAGATGGCATCGACAGCACGGATGTGCGACAGAAAAGCATTTCCCAGACCTTCACCTTTGGAAGCGCCTCTGGTTAAGCCGGCGATATCGTAGATGGTCAGATGTGCTGGTACTCGAGACTTGGGATTGTATTTTTCGCAAAGCCAATCGTATCTCTCGTCGGGGACAATGACACGAGACTCTTCAGGATCGATGGTCGCGAAGGGAAAATTCTGCATTAAGAAGAAAATTAGATTGGAGCTAGCCTAATCGGGATATGCGTTGGCATGGCACTGTGCACTACTTACAGCGGGGTTTCCGAGGGAGCATTTGGTGATGGCTTGAAAGAGCGTCGACTTTCCCACATTTGCGAGACCGACTGGAGAGCAGCGTTAGCATCCATTTCTGCGTCGCTCCTGCCGCTGCAGAAGACCTACCGATGCCGGTGGAAAGATTGTTTTTGGGTCTTCCCAAGAGGAGCTTCTTCTCCTCGACCGCCTTCTTTGGGCCCATCTTCTTCTTTTTGGCGTAGCTTCGTGTGGTGGTGAGGGTGAGGGCGAGGAAAACCGTGCAGCTAAGCGGGCTTTGGTGGTGTGGGAGGGAGGAGGCAGTTCTTGCTGCGCGCCTGGAAAAATGGAGGGGTAGAGAAGAGAAAAGGAGAGTGCCGAGAGGGGAAGACGTGGTGATGGATTGGGCTGCCTTTCTGCAGCCTTGTACTGGTATTTATGCGGCAAGAGTGGATGGATGGGATAGAGTCCTCTACCAGTCTACCCAGCCCTCCTGCGTAAAGGTTGTGCGACCAACCAGATGCCAATTTTCATCTGCAATTTTTACCTCCCTACTTGGTGGTGCGTGATGACTAAGCTAATTGCCAGGGGTGTTTCTACCCACAACCTTATGTCACTCGGAAACCTGCTCTAACAATTAACTTCGATAAGATCTTTTGTAATTGTTGCAAAGAATCAAGTCTGGGTACCTAATGGATTACCCAGGTGTATTTCAAATAACTGGTTGGAAAAATTACATTGGCTTGACTACTACAAATAATGTAGAAAGAAGTGATAAGGAGGGGTGATTTATTGCCGCGTTTTCATTCCGCTGCGAGTTTCTAGCACTCAAACCCCTGCTACTTTAAGTGAGAGAACTTGAAGTCATTCTATGACACAGGAATGGTTGTGATTGTATCCTTTCTATACAATTACTCATAAGTCTACCAGTGTACTAGGTGTTTATTCCCAAGTCTGCAGCTACTGCAGATGCCAAGCCCTTCCGCCCCTAGGCTCACGGGGCGGGGCAGTAGCTTTCAACGTTTCCGTCAACATTCATCACCATCCCTGCAACACCTCGATAATGAAGTCTAGGTGGTCAACGTTGATACCAAGTCCACATCAGAAATCACCAAACAACCCGCACTCGCTTTTGCTTTTGCCTTTGCCTTTGCATTTGCTTCAGCCACGTCTCGGCACTTGATTTAACTTTGGGAGCTTCTACTCACCAAGTCGACGTCATGTCTTCGAAGAAGACCACCAGAAAGAGCTCCCATAGCCATCGGTCCACGCTTTCACTACAGAAGACCGAGATAGTGATTAATATTTACGATTTACTGCCAGTAAGTGCGTGAGGAATCAGAGCTGGGAGTTTATTCTTCTGCATACCGGCACCGTCATCTACTTTCCTCGAGTACAATCGCTGACGTCCCCAACAGCCAGGCAGACTATCTACAATTCTTTGGACGGTTGGCGCCTCCCTTCTACACTCAGGCGTCGTAATAAACGGCAAAGAATACGCATATGGAGGCCACGATAGACGTGGAATGACAGGCGTATACTGGACCAAACCCAAAGCTGAACCACCAGGAGGAACCTTCAAATGCGAGATCCTGCAAGGCTTCACCATCTCGCCGCAAGCGGAAATAGACACCATCGTAAGAGAAGCCTCCGAGGAATTCCAAGGCACTTCATATAATCTCCTCACGAGGAACTGCAATCACTTCACCCAATATCTATGTGAGAAGCTCACGGGTCAGCCAGGTCCCGGTTGGTTGAATCGCGCGGCGAGTATTGGTGTTGCGCTACCGTGTGTGGTGCCGAGAGAATGGATTGCCCCTCCGGATTTTGAGACTGCGGATGGAGAGCTGTTGGATGAGGAACAGGACAATTCCCACGAACGCTCGAGAATGCTGGCCGAAACAGATCATAGTCACGAAAGGTATAGTTTTGACGAGGGAAGAGCAGATTTCTCGCACGAAGAATGGGATACGGGTGAGAATACGGCCAAGGGTAAAGGCAAGCGTCCAGTTCATGATACTGCAGGAAGAGTTGTTCCTCCTGCCGACAGAGCCCCCACCAAGGCCAAAAAGTGATGCGATTGTCCACCATGATATCATTTCTTTTGTTACATCAGCGAGGGAGTAGGAGTTTCTGGCGCAGCATTTTGATACTACAGGCGTTGATGGTTCTCACGGATGATACCAAAATCATATTGTACAGATGGTACAATATTTGTACAGAATACTTCCAAGCAGCTAGCTTTCCTTTGTTCCCTGGTATGGAGAAAATGACATAGGCCTCCAACATACCCAATCAACCCAGACGTCTTGGCTTCGGACTCCTCGTACCACCAAATTTCAGTCTGGTGGCATCCGCAACCTTGACAATCTTATGCCTCAAGTTCTTCCCTTCCAATCCCAATAATGCCTTGGTAACAGCTTCTCTCCCAGCCCCAAACCCTCTCAGCACCACTTCCAATTCCTTGATCTGTGAATTGATCCCTCGGTCCTGCATTCTTTGCATGACAAAAGTTGCCAGTTGATAGGCCGAATCATAGTGTTTTCTCGCAGAGTGTCTGAACCCAAGGTTTCCACAGGATAGCGAGATAATGGGATTTCTTTTGGGGTTGGTGACGGTGATGTGGGTATTGTGACGGCTGGCAATGATATGGAAATGATGTGGTTCAGTCACAGCCTCCGCCGTGGGCTGGTTATAGGTCACTGAACCATCCGAGGCGAAATTGGTGCTGAGCTCGTTTCGTCTTTGCCTTTGAGTTGTGGAGACAAAGTTTCCGAAATGCCGTGCAAGACGATTGGGTGGTGAATCAGCGGGTTGTACTTGAAGGGATTCGGTATTCGCGGCTGGATTCAGTGAAGGAGAGCGAGGCATCAGAGCCTCTTCTGTAGTGGGAGGTACTGTCCTGCTTCCATCTTCTGCGCCTCTGGATGCTGATTGCGAGAATAATCGTATACCTCTCGCCGAGGCTCGAGGCAATTGCGCCAAAAGGCGATTCGATATTGTCCTACTCATGGCTTGAATGGTGATGGTTGCCCGCGATCATGCGAATATATTGACGAGTCTGGAGTCGAAAAGTTTATGCCAAGCCGGAAGCGGAAAAACCCCCCTGTTCCCGCCGGAGCCCGCCCCGGCCCTTGCTGTTTAGTGGAAGAGACGAGAACCTGACGGGATCGGCCAAAAAGTTCTGAATGCCGGGTTGAATTCTTGCGACTCCAACTTTCCATTCGAACCTCTCCAATCCTCGTTCTGAGTCCTATCAGCCTTTTCTGCCAGAGGGCTGACTCGATTTTCTTCCTCTTACGACCATAATGAATAGTCTACGTCTATCGGCTGGTAGACTGCCTGCAAATGCGCATGTGGGATCTGTTCTGAGAGGTGCTTCTGGGCGGGCGGCGATTTCGAGAAGGTCACTTCAATATACCCGACTTTCTTCACAATCTTCCAAACCATACTCTTCGATACCCACAATCTCGACACACTCTAATCTCTTGCGCTCAAAGTTTCTTCCAGAGGAAATTAGAACCGGTGTCACTCCAGCAACATCGCGGGGTTTTCACCATGGCACAATATTAAGGCGGGAGAAGAAATCAGCAAGCGAATCTACGAAGGATAAACCCGAAGAGAGCGAAGCCGCAAAGAAAGAGGCCGAGGAAGAATCCAAAGAGGACCAGGGGAAAGAGAAGGAAGACCAGGGAAAAGAGAAAGAAGGCGAGGGGGAAGGCGAAAAGGATGGAAAGAAGAAAGAAGCTCCTCCCCCGCCACCGCCTCACGGAGACAAATCTCCATGGCAGGTTTTTACCGAGACTCTATCAAGCGAATTCAAGGCTTCCAAAGAATGGAATGAGTCTACGAAAGCTTTGGCGGATGGTGCTCAACAATTTACCGAAAATGAATCAGTAAGAAAGGCGCGACAAGCTTATGAGTCTACAACTGGTGCTGTTTCTTCCACTGCAGGGACTGTTTTGAAGACTACCGCCGGAGTTGTAGGTAAGGGAGCTGCTTGGACTTGGGAGACGCCTGTTGTCAAGGGGGTTCGAGTGGGGGTTAATGCTACAGCAAGTGTGATTGAGAAGGGGACAAGACCAATCCGACAGACGGAAGCTTTCAAGAATGTCAAGAACGTTATCGATGATGGTAGTAGTTCTAGATATGGAGGATGGGTTGAAAAGGAAGAACGTCGAAAGATAAGGGAACTCCGAGAAGCTGAAGAGGCACAAAAAGCTGGGACACCAGACGGACGGGTGAAGGTCGCAGAAGAGGATCCACTGTAAGTCGATTTCTTGTTTGTGAAAACATGGCTTTGCTAATTATTCTAGGGCTGGCACAAATGTCACATTACATAAGGATGCTGCTTGGAAAGAATCATGGCGAGATTTCCGAGATTCCAACAAAGTCATGCAATCGCTCTTTTCCTTGAAATCAACATATAAGGAATCCGAAAATCCTTTGATCTCCACCGCTCGAAGCATATCCGATCGTGTTGCGGGGTTCTTTGCCGAGAATGAAACGGCAATGGTCATCAAAAAGTTTAGAGAAATGGACCCGTCCTTCCAAATGGAACCATTCTTGCGGGAGATGCGAGAATATATTCTCCCCGAAGTACTTGATGCATACGTCAAGGGTGATATCGAGACTCTCCGTCTTTGGTTGAGTGCTGCTCAATTCTCTGTCTACGAAGCTCTTTCGAAACAATACACCACCGCAGGTCTGAAATCTGACGGGCGGATTCTCGACATTAGAAATGTTGAGATTTTACAAGCAAGAATCCTTGATCCTGGGGATATTCCAGTCTTCATCGTCACGTGCCGCACGCAAGAAGTGCATGTCTATCGGAATGCGAAGACCAACGCTTTGGCTGCTGGGATGGAGGACAAAGTACAACTGGTCACTTATGCCATTGGTGTCACTCGCCTTCCTGAGGATGTGAATAATCCAGAGACCAGAGGATGGAGGTTAATCGAATTACAAAAGAGTGGAAGGGATTACATATGATCTCGTCTCTTGTCTTTCTCTCTTCTCAAAATGCTCATACGGCGTCCTCTGTACATCAACACTTCATTCGCATCCCGAAACCTTTCCACCAAGAGCTGCATGTACGTGCAAAAAGGAAAGCGTCCGCGGGATTTCTTCGGATCAACGAGCGAGATGTTTACTGTATACCACCACTACATTCCTTTTCATACCTCCGCATTTCAGGCGTTCAGGGCGTTTTTTGCATCATGGCTGGTGTGCCATGCACTCACTTCTTGGGTCTCATTTTCGAAGGAAGGTGCATTTGCATTCACGCCACTCTCCACTTTCCACTTGAGGATTATGGGAATGTAACGATTACCCTTCCTTGTCTACATATATTGATGAAAAATGGTGGGATGTGGGCCCGGGAATGGAAAAAGTTGGGGGCGGGGGAAGGGGATGTATTATAATGTCTGTCTGTATTTTTATGTGAGATGATAATTGAAAAGGTTGAATACTTGAAATTTGGCGTTCATCTGTGTGTTTTCTTCTCCCTGGTGCCCCCCCCTTTTGGATCTTTTATAGCATATGGTGAGTGCTGGGGTGGGTTGTGATACACTCTTTTTATGTAGAGAGCTTTCTGTGGTCTTGTAGGGTGTGGGGCTTGAGATGGATGGCCTTATGGTGGGGAGTTGAGTTGGGTTGCTTCACTTGGAACTGTTTTGAGAGTATTATAGAGGGGAGAGGGGATTGGGGAAAGAGATGGGTGCTGAATGATGAGGGGAAGTGTGAGGGAGTAGTTGCGCACTGACCATGAGTTATTCTCTCGTGCTTTTTTTGAACGACCACTGTGTTAGTCGGAGTGAACAGGGATTTTGCTGCTCTCGCTTAATTGAGTTGACTCTCCGTGCTGTTCATGGCTAAAAAGATGTCCAACGGGTCTATGGAGACAGGTTTGAGGGGATGGTATGGTATGTTGATCGTTAGGGTTAGGGTTAGGGTTAGGGTTAGGGTTAGGGTTAGGGTTAGGGTTAGGGTTAGGGTTAGGGTTAGGGTTAGGGTTAGGGTTAGGGTTAGGGTTAGGGTTAGGGTTAGGGTTAGGGTTAGGGTTAGGGTTAGGGTTAAGGGTTTAGGGTTAGGGTTAGGGTTAGGGTTAGGGTTAGGGTTAGGGTT